TGTTACTACTAGATTCTTGTTACTACTAGTAAGGCACCTGTTACTACTAGCAAAAAAATGTGTCCATCGTGATTGTGTTGTTTCTCATACTTCGTGTTCACTTCGCTCCCCTAGTCCTTTCGGTCGCCTGCTGTCTGGAGAGGAAAGGTCCACATGCCGCCATGTGTTCGCGGAATCATTCTGAGCAAAAAATGCCAAGAAATTATTTTGAGGAAAACAACATGCAAATAACATCGAATAACTACCAAATCAATCATGCAGAGCGTCCCAACACAGCGTGTTGGATAGCTTGTTTGGGATTGTGGCTTCCATGCCTCACTACATCCTTCTTTCCAATCATGTCTTCCTGCCTCACGAACATCAAACACTGTTTAATCACCTTGTCGTTGCCCGTCGCTCAATTTTGTCCGCAGCACACCCACATGGCATTGTCAACTGTTGGCACTTCACCCAAAATGCAAATTGACAAGGAAGCGGTGCTCCGGTTCTTCCGGCACTAAGTCTTTGGAACAAAGAGACTTCTCAGATCTCAATCGCAAACTGAGAGTTGTCTCTCCGACTACTCGAATTCGGTCACTCTGCAAGCCATTCGCGTCTCTCCTGCTTGTTTACTTCCAGCTCTTGCTTGAAGTGAGAAGCATTTCTGAATACAAAAAGAGTTCCCTTTTGAAGCGATGAAAGAAAAACTTGTCGGTTTCTTGTCCTTTATCTCAGGCCCGAACAAGTTGAAGTCGAAGTCTTCAACAGCTCCAACGGCTTTTGCAACTCCCTGTAGGATTGAAAACACAGAGAGAGAGAGAGAGAGATCAACAGAGCCCAAGGATCAACTTGTTTCTCGAGATTGTAAGTGCCTGAGGATCTCTGGAAGCATTGGCCTGAAACGACCGGAAAAAAAGCCGGAAAAAAAAGCTCAGTGTAACAGTTCCCACAAAAAGATCTACAAGTGCCATCTTTGAATCTATCAAATAGTTTCACTCACAAAACAATTAAAAGAAATGACAATAGAATTATCTATTTGAAAGTAGGGACATGGAATGATCTTCTCAGTGACTCGCGTATCTTTTCTCAAAGCCAGGAGCTGTCGTGCAGTGTCCAATTCGTCAAGATCCTTTCGCAAGATGTGTTATGTGTGTCGTAGAAAGGCGGGCGTGTTGGGTGTTTGCTTCCATGTCTTGCTACAACGTCCACAGTCTCTTCGATTTCAACGATTGCCAAGAAGCATCTTCGCCTGCAAAACCAGTCAATGAAAGATCGAATGTTGTTTCTGTTGGAAACAAAAATGAACAAAAATGATATCGTTGCTGCATTTAAACTGGGTGATGCCGTTTATTTGTATGTGTGCATTGGTTTAAGCTGTGTCCTGTGTAAAATGCTTGTTGTTTCCACTACCAGGTGTAATCGTCTTTACACCTTGTCTTGACACTCTTGGGGCCCAAGCACAGCTTCAAGGCTGCATCCACCTGTCAAATTCAATTTGAGGTTGTCACACAGGATATTGACATACATTGATGTACATCCTTGGTTGGAAACTAAAGTAGCTAGTAGTACTAGGGATGGTCTAGTGGCGAAGCTACTAGCTTGGCAGAAGAGCTCAGGCTTGATTGAATTGTTTTTGGGGAGGTGGAGAATTTGACTGTTCGGGACGCCTTCAAGGCCATCATCTCAGCACGTTTGACCAAATCCTCAAGCACACCCAATTAATTTGCTGCAACGGGGTGGTGCATCCAAGCAACTAAGATTCCAAAGGTGTACCTAATAGGAATGGCCTCCAACCTAATAGGAATGGCCTCCAACTGAATA